ACCTCAAACGACTCAACCGTTTCCTATCCCTCCGCAAATTCAAAATGCACACCCTTCAATCCATTTTGCAGGGCACCAGGCAAGGAGATTGGCTATCTTCTATAGACCTCTCTGAGGCATACCTCCACATCCCAATTCGGCCTTCCCACTCCAAATTCCTTAGATTCTGTTACAATCACCATCATTTCCAGTATGTGGCCCTTCCCTTTGGGCTAGCTTCCGCTCCCAGAGTTTTCACTAAGATCCTCGCGGCCCTGGCAGCTCGCTTAAGGGACTACCCGGTCCGGCTCCACTGCTATCTGGATGATATCCTCATCCTGTCCCATTCCCAATCCCAAGCAGAACTGGACACCAAGACTACCCTCTCTGCTCTCCAGGCCCATGGTTTCCTGGTCAACCAAAAAAAGAGCCAACTGGTCCCTTCTACCCGAATTGCCCACTTGGGGGCCATCATTGACACGGTGCAGGAAAAAGTGTTCCTTTCCCCAGAAAGGCTCCAGAGTATTCGAAATTCAATTCCAGGTTATTCGACGATCAAAGAGGGCTTCTCTATTAGAATTGTCTAAATTACTGGGAAAAATGGTTTCATGCATTTCTATTATTCCTTGGGCCCGTCTTCATACTAGGTCCCTGCAGTGGCTCCTGCTCCCGTTTCAAAGGTCCGGCAGAAGCAACTCAAAATCCTCAATCAAGGTACCTCCAAAGGTCCTCTCATCTCTCCTCTGGTGGACCAACCCTGGCATCAACAGGTGTCATCTCTTCAAAGATCCCCAGCGTCTCATCATCACCACAGACGCCAGCCTGAGCGGCTGGGGCGCTCACATCCAGTCCCTTACAACGCAGGGCAAATGGTCCCAAGCAGAGCGGGCCTGCAGCATAAACTGGCTGGAGCTCCACGCCATCCACCTGGCCCTGCGCCATTTCCTGCTTCAGGTACACGGGCGGCACATCCTTATTCTCATGGACAACGTTACCGCCAAGGCCCATGTCAACAGGCAAGGCAGGACCCAGTCTATCCAGTTGATGAGAGAGGCCAAAAGACTCTGCCGTTGGGCAGAGCGTCACCTCCTCTCAATCAAAGCAGAACACATTTCGGGGGCCTCAAACACCCGAGCGGACTGGTTAAGCAGGGCCACCGTGGACCAGTCCGAGTGGCGCATTCACCCATCCCTTTTCAGGGAGGCGACCATGATCTTCGGTCTCCCGTCAGTGGATCTCTTTGCATCCCCCCGCAACACCTAGCTCCCTCGGTTCTTCTCCAGATTCCCTTCCCCCGGGGCCGAGAATCACGACGCACTTCGCTGTCCGTGGTCCCCGGGACTCCTGTACGCCTTCCCCCCGTTAGCTTTACTTCCCAGAGTCATTCAGAAACTGATCCAGGAGAAGGCAGATCTGATTTTAGTGGCCCCCTATTGGCCCAGGCGGCCGTGGTTTGCGGACCTCCGCAACCTTTCGGTGTCTCCCCTGTGGAGAATCCCTCCGGACAGGATCTCCCTGTCTCAGGGGCCCATTCAACATTCGGAGCCCCAATGGCTCCAACTAACTGTGTGGAGGTTGAGCGGGAAAAGTTGAGGAAGGAGAATTTATCTGACCAGGTCATTAACACGATCCTGGCCGCCAGACGGCCTTCAACCAATCGGATATACGATGCTACCTGGGTCAGCTTCTGCAGGTGGTGCCATGCCTCCATGGTCAACCCGCTCTCGCCTTCGGTGGCCCAGATTTTGAATTTTCTCCAGGATGGGCTCAAAAAAGGTCTCTCACCTAATACCCTGAGACGCCAGGTAGCGGCCCTCTTGACCGTCGTCTCTGGCGACAATCTGGGTCCCCTCTCTCACCATCCCCATATCAGGGCCTTCCTAAGGGGGGCTACTAACCTCCGTCCCCCTGTCGTGCACCGGTACCCCACTTGGGACCTTAACAAGGTCCTGGTGGCCCTAACCAAACCTCCTTTCGAGCCTATTAGAGAATCCTCTCTCCAAACTTTGATCTTTAAGGTAGTATTCCTGGTGGCAATTACCTCGGCTCGCCGAATTTCGGAGATTGCTGCCCTTTCGGTGAGAAAGGACCTTTGTATCTTCCATTCCGATCGGGTGGTCCTACGCCCCGACCCGAACTTTTGCCCCAATCCTTCGCGGGAAAGGGAGAAACGATGGCACACCCTAGATGTGAGGCGGGCCCTCCGCATATACATTAACCGCACGCAACCCTTTAGAAGGTCCGAGTCCTTATTTCTCTCCTTCCAGCCCAAGTCCTTAGGCCACAAGGTGTCCCCTTCCACCAACGGGCGATGGATCAGAGCCACCATCGCCAAGGCTTATTCGTCTCAGGCCTTGCCAGTTCCCAGCGGGGTTACGGCGCATTCCACCAGAAGTGCAGCCACCTCTGCGGCCTGGGCTACCCAGGCTCCAATCTCAGACATTTGTCGGGCCGCCACCTGGGCTTCCCCCTCCCCTTTCATTAGGCACTATAAGATTGACATCCTTGCATCAGCGGAGGCCTCGTTTGGTAGACGAGTCCTCCAGCGGGTCATCGAGGACCCAGGGGAGCTTCCACCCCAGACAGATTCCCTCCCGTAGGACAGCCAAGCTTTGGTATGTCCCACTCTCTGGATGATCCGAGCAGCTCGAGGGAGAATGGGCGTTGGTCTTACCTGACACGCCATTTCTAATCGAGCTGTGAGGATCATCCAGCCCCACCCTTTTTAATTTTTTTCCGTCTGGGGGAACCTTGTTTCAGGCAATGATACCTTAAGTCTAATTAGATGAGAGTTAGACGACTTTCCTCCTCTCTCGACTTCGCATAAACTGGGGAACGCTACAAGGGACCACGTGACAGAGGGCGGAGCGTTCCTCAGTAATTAAGCTCAGCCTACACAGACGCAGACTGGAGCACCTCCCACTCTCTGGATGATCCTCGCAGCTCGACTAGAAATGGTGTGTCAGGTAAGACCAACGCCCATTTTCTAACTTTCAATTGACCTTACATGGTCCAGATAGGGACAGTCAAGTACCAGATGTGACCTAGGTGCCATAAAATGCCCAGGTTTGCCTTAAATAAAATAATAACACCAACAACAATAATGCCACAACATTTATGTATACATAAATCTGTCTGTCTGTCGTGACTGCTAGGCTTCTGTTGTTAATAGTAAAAGGATAAGGACCAGCATATCCAGATAATTATGTGAAATACTCATTTTCATATTAAATAAGCACAGTAGTAAAGGCAACAGTTTATTAAATCTAAATACCAGACTTTTAATTTTTTTTAATCTCTGATTCTGATCTTTTGAATGCCTTTCTAACCATAAAGCTTATACTAACATTTTCCAATTGTATTCAGTATTAATGTTCAAGAAATTCTTAACATTATAACACTTCAGTGACATCATAATCAGAAGCATTCAGTGTGGACATTTGTGTATCTGACCACAGTGTGTATGTAGCAGTTATAAAAACCATGTATTAAATCTGCATGCAAAAAGGCAAAGCTAATATGTACTAATTGATGACCCCTAACTAGCAATCATGCGCCTGCACAATAAAAACTGCACTGAATTAAGTTTCACATTAACATTTGTTTGTTGTGGATGAAGACTGAAGATCTTCAGAGTCCTATTGAAACTTTCAGTTTTTGACACTGGCTTGTTTAATAGTCTTTTAAACAGGATCTATTCTATACATTTCTAGGAAAGTAATTTGAAATGAATAGGTAAAAAAATAGGTCTTTTCATTTCTGCATTACACAGCCATTGTCAATATTCTTTAAGGTAAATTATGTTACTATGGAAAATTGTTTTTATCCTATATTTATGTTTACTTTGATTTCTAGGGCATTTAAAGCTCTGTGTTTTAAATGTACATCAAAGTGTATGCCTTCAAGTTAGCATTAACTGCTAGCAATTGCTTAGATAAGTTCCTGCTGTTTTCTTGACAAATAATTTCTATAGTGGCTTGCCATAGCCTTCCTCCTAGGTTTGGGAGTGACTGGACCAACATCACTCAGCTTGCTTTGTACCTATTCTCCTGGTTTCTAGTCTCATTTCTTTAATCATTATACCAAATTGGCTCCCGTTCAAAGCACACATAACTATTTAATGTACAATAGATAATTACTACAGATCTGGCTTGTGAATCCTATAGCATTTTTCCTTCTACAATATAGATTACAACACATGCCAAAAAAATGTTTTTCTTTAGAATATTAGAATCAAAACTTCAGAATACCATAGGATTCCATTTTCTCTCCCTTTGTTTTAAGCAAGAAAGGAATTTTGGAGACCAGAGAAAATGGAATCCTATGGTATTCTGAAGTTTTGATTCTAATATTCTAAGGAAGAACAGTTTTTTGGCATGTGTTGTAATCTATATTGTAGGAGGAAAAATTTGACATACAGTATAATAGCCACAAATCAGAAAGACTCTAGCTGTACCTTTAAATACTAGCACATTTTATTAAAAGACATAAACTCACAAAAGCTTATGCCTTTTTAAAATGCTAGTTTGAGACAATTCTATGAGATGCTTTTTGATTATAGAGTTTCATGTGATCATTCTCTGTGGCTTCAAGAGTCTCCTTTGACAACTACTGTGAAAAATGGTGCATAATTTTTTACTATTTTGATGCAAAAGAAAAATTAAAATTGTCTTATAATAGGCTTTAAAGACTTTTTCTTTAAACCAAGGAAAGCTCAATCTACTTTAACAATCCGTCTCCTCCCCAAAAGGCATCAGTAAGGTCTCTAGCTGTCAAAAATTGTCCATCTCTGGTTTATATTTTCTCAAACATTTTCCATAAACCACTCAGTATACGCTACATTGGTTTCTGCAAGATAATAACTAATTATATAGAGTTCCTACTGTGTACAGTTTTTTAATAATTTCCTTTTCATAATTAATAATTCCCTTTCATAAGTTATCACCAGCAAGTATCTGAAAACTGTGCCATGCTTCATTCTGAAATTGTATTTATATGATTCTTTTTCCCCCCATGTGCAGTTGCTCGTATTCACCCCATGGAGCTTATGCTCAAAGCAAACTTGCCCTTGTATTATTCAGCTATCAACTGCAACATCTCCTGACGTTAGAAGGGAGCCACGTGACGGTTAATGTTGTAGATCCTGGAGTAGTGAATACGGGTCTCTATCAGCATGTCGGTTGGGCAGTGAAAATGGTCAAGTGGATTGCAACCTGGCTCTTAAAGGTACTTGGAAATCCTTTAATGGTTCCACATCACTCTGATCTTTTTGTATATTGTTAAGTATGTGTCAAAAAAACTTAAATATCTAGGAATTTGGCTAACAGGAACATGCTCTTTCATAAAAGAGGATAATTATATGAAATTACTTTCACAGATGAAGAAAGATCTGGCCAATTGGGAAAAATTACAACTATCACTATTAGGCCGAATAGCGGCTATAAAAATGAACATACTACAGAAACTATTACACTATTTTCAAACAATACCTATAAAATTGGATAAGAAATTTTTTTAGGAATTAGATAGGATGGTAATGAAATTTATATGGATGGGGGAAAAAGCACGAATAAAATTGAAAACGTTATAAGATAGTAGAACCAGAGGCAGCCTTGGACTCCCAAAATGGGAAACATATTATCAAGCAGCAATTTTACTATGGGTTAAGGAGTGGATAAACTTAAAAAATAAAAGAATTTTGGCGATAGAAGGTCATGACCTCCAGATTGGGTGGCATGCCTTTCTATGGGATAAAAAGAATAAGATCCACTCCTATTTCCATAGACATTTGATAAGGGACTCACTTTTACAAACATGGGAGAAAATAAAAAAAAGCATTATTTGAAAAGACCAAATTGGATCTCACCTATGGAAGCTATATTATATCCAAATACAAGGGACATTAAAAAATGATTAGATATAAGGAATTGGTAGATGAACAGGGGGAATTAAAACCACTGGATAAACTAAAAGAATAAGGGATAATATTAGACTGGTGGGTATATTTGCAAATTCAAACTAAATTTAAGAAAGATGTAAAAGAGCTAGGGATAGATAAAGATTTACAAAAATTGGACCAAATTTTGACAGGCAAGGATATAAAATTTATAACACAAACATGTAATTATTTACTGGAGATAGAACTAGAGGAGGAAATTGTTAAGGGACCAATGATTGCCTGGGTGAGAAATGTGGGTCATAATATAAATTTGAATGAGTGGGAAAAGACTTGGACTGAGAACTGGAAGCTGACTTTGTCAACGACATTCAAAGAAAATCAATATAAAATGTTTTGTGGATGGTACTTAGTGCCGGCATGACTGGCGAAAATGTATCCAACCTTGAAACCAGAATGCTGGAAGTGCAAACAAAAGAAAGGAACGTTTTTCCATATGTGGTGGCAATGTTTAGAGGTCAAAAAATACTGGAAGAAAATACAGAGATGGCTTTTTGAGATTACAAAATATAAATTGAATTTGGAACCCGAAACGTTTTTATTAGGTATGATCAAAGGGAATTTGAGTAAAAATAAAAGATACCTTATTGTACACATCTTAACTGCAGCAAGAATCACTTTAGCACAAAATTGGAAAAGTGATAAAATACTACCAGATGAAATTTTGATTCAAAAAATAATGGATTGTGCTGAAGTAGATAAATTCACTATGGAACTGAAAGGCAAAGAGGATCGAGAATACTATGTGACATGGGAGAAGTGGTACGAATGGGTGATGGATAAGGATAAAAATAATGTATAGTCACAAAATAAGAAACATGTATATACAATGACACAATAACTGTTAATGGAAATGAGATTTTTGTATTTTTTTTTGTTTTAAATAATTTTTTTTTAAGTATGTTTTCTCTGATCTCTAGAATTTAGTGCACTTTTTACACCCCTCTATTTTTCTTGGGATTTTCCTGTGCTTTCAGTGTGAGAACATATGTCCCTAAGAAGTTGAATCCAACACAGTGAGGCTCTATCGGGGACCCACAGATCACAGCAAATCTCCAATTAATTGCATTCATCCTCCAGCAACTCAGAGGTATTACTGAGTTCCTACTCCTGACTAGGAGCTCAAACTATGCAAGGCAGTTTTAACCTGGCTAATCAGTGTTGCCTTCATTTTTGCAGTTTTTGAGATTTCTACAGCATCCTTTTTTATAAAAGACCCAGTGCAAGATTTTAAAATAAGTGTGACTAAAACTCAGCACAGATTGTCAGCATCATTATACCTGAGCAAGACTATTTCCTTGGCTCAGTGCTAGAAAGGCTGTCTGGCACACTAATCGCTATCAATTAACATTTCTGTGTAACCTTTGAATTTAATATTCTATCCTGGATTCAAAATAGGAAAGACTCTGGGACCTTTGTAATTAGACCTTCATCTTCAGTAGTGTGAGTGGCAGACAAGTGGGATGACTAAGATGACCTAGAGAGTCTGTGCTACCAGGAAAGCAGCTGACATAACTCTGTCTTCATGTTCAACAATTCTTCAGTCAAGATTGTTGGAGCAAACAAAAGGAATCTAGGGAAAAGAGCAGGGGTGGGCAAACTACGGCCCGTGGGCCACATCCAGCCCGTTGGTCATTTTAATACGGCCCGCCTCTGAAAAAAAAAAATTCCCCTCTGAAAAAAAAATTGGGGCCGGCCAAAAGAGACCCCGTGCTGCGCGCTATAAAATCGCGCACACAGCACGGAGATGGGCAGCCGCTTCCCTGGTGGCGGGGCCAAGGTCGCCGCCCAGGGAACGCCCACTGCTTTCCCTCCGCCCGGGCTCCACTCAGGTGTCCGGCTGGGGCTGTCAGGAGTTGCTACCGCGGGCGCAGCTCCGCGTGGCTCCAGTCCCGCGTTGCCTTGGGAAGGGAAAGGCAAAACCAGGGCCCGCTGAGCCTGAGCCTCCAGTGCTGTTGCAAAGCGCCACCGCGGCTCTTCCTTTTTGCCTTTCCCTTCCCGAGGCAACGCGGGACTGGAGCCGCGCGGAGCTGCGCCGGCGATAGCAACTCCTGACTCAGGGGGCCTCCGAGGGGAGGGGAAGGAGGAGAAGAAGGGGGGGAAGGGGGGCAATTCCCAAAAAATCTTGTGCTGACCCGGCCCGTCTGTCAAATTTTAAAAGTCAATGTGGCCCCCAAGCCAAAATGTTTGCCCACCCCTGGAAAAGAGGATATGGTGAATGGTGTCATTACAACTAGAAACACCCATTCCCTGATCAGCTAGTCTGGAAAGCTGCAATTATTTTTAGTTCTTCTCTGCCCCAGGTGCAAATTTTGCAAACTAAAACTTGCCATATAATCTAGCAAAAGAGATCTCCATGATGTAATAATTAGCTATTTGTGAACTCAAGGAGATCCTAGGTTCGAATCCATCCTCACCATGGAAACTCACTGGATGATTTTGGGCTGTTCATTCATCCTCTGTTTAATCTACTACACAGGGTTGCTTGAGGTAGAGGGTGGGTATATAAGTATATCCTACGTAAAATCTAAAGTAGAAGTCTAAAACTAGATTCATGAATAAAATTTTGCATTAGTACACCATTTTCTTTAAATACTTCATATGAAGAGTTCGGTTGCAATAGTATCTTATATTATTATTGTTGATGTTGTTGTTGTTATTATTATTATTATTATTATTATTATTATTATTATTATTATTATT